CGCGAAATTCAAAACAAACAAACAAATACTTTTATAAAGTATGAAATTTCTATTATTGCGCTGGACTGTGGAGCTGAGGTTCCATGGTTCGCGTCCCGTTACCACCCAAAAAACAAATAGTGCTCCTTGCTTTGGGGTCGTGGGTGCGTTATAAGAATGACGGTCAAATCACACTATTCGGTCATACAAGATTTGGCGGTGTTTGGTGTTAACTACCTGCCTTACCCGTATAGTTTGTTTGTTTGTTTGAAGTTATGCACAAAGCTACACAATGGACTATCTGTGCTCTGCCCACCTCGGGGTATCGAAACCCGGTTTCTAGCGTTGTAGGTCCGCAGACAAACCGCTGTGCCACTGGAGGACTTACCCGTATAGACTATTATTTCAAAATTATGGGCGATTGGTAAAGACAAGTCCTGTTGTTTTGATGAATATATGGCGTACGTAATTTAGCATACGCGAAACTTGAGATACAGATTTTACGACAAACAATAACACATTTATATAATTATTTATGCGCTTGTTTTTTAAAGATAATTAAATCATGGTTTTGCGATTTCCGCCTTTAACTGCCGTAAATCACTGAAAGGTCTGTAATGTATTATAGTCCATTATAACCACGGCTGTGTCTAGTTGTTTGGCGTAATAAGTACGAAGCTGAACAAGGAACCATCTGTAGTGTGCCCACCGCGGGTATCGAAACCAGATTTTTAGCATGATAAAATCCTAAGATACCGTTGAGCTATCGGGAGGCAATATAAAAAAATATATATGGTTAATTTTCTCACATAATATAATAGTATTACCTGAGTATAATACCTTTTTCGCTGTTTTATTTCATCCATATAAGAAAAAAGCGAAGATGTTTTAAATTCAGGTAACACTATTAATATATATTATAAGACCTACGCTTTTTTAAAGAAACAAATACAAAAGGGAAAACTGATTTTTTAGTATTATTATTATTATTTGTGCTGATAAAATGTTTAAGGTTTTAGTCAAGGTAATTGTTATTTAAGACTCATAACGTAGGTAAATTAATATGTAGAATTATAAACGGACTTTTCTCTTTCGTTAAAAAGGCTCTAGTAAGAGGGCCGAAAGCTCGCAATAAAAGTATTGTTGCGTATCTGCTCGTTTGTTAATTTCCGGTATAAATTCTTTACGAGGAACTTCAGCGATACAAGTCCTTTCTTAACTAAAACTAGTTTATTCTTTTTCGATACAACTTTGTAAAACACAGAATTTGCACAGTCACTTTAAAGTTAACTACTTTTATAAACACAGGCTATAAATCACAGTGATTCACACACTTTACTTATGGTGCCTACTGTTTGCTTAACTCAATTATCTCTCTCTATATATATATCTATCTATCTATGCAATTCTATCCTCGCTTTATTTGCCGGGCTTATATACTAAAAAGAGGGAGCCTGGAACAAACTAGAGTTGCCAGGAAAATTCATGATCCTTCGAGAATATCATCACGTGTTACCAGCGTCACGTGACTTCCGCTGTCGTAACACTGCCCCTTCCTTAGTATTGTTCGTTTCGAACAATAGCCACTTACATTGAACCAATAGTTAATTAACAATAACTTGATTAAATGTACAGAATTTACAAACACAAAATTAAAGTACAACAAAGTCTCTTAATTTTACAGGATGTATCTTCTTCCATACTGGTCTCTGTCTCATTGGCTTCTGCTTCACGTGTGGT